TTTTTAAAAAACTTTAAATTTTATTAAAACAATTGTAATTAAGAAACAGAAATTAAGCTTGAGAAATTAAAATTAGCCATAAAATAAAATGGATATATTTTCTTTTTCTTAATCCAAATTTTTAAACAATTAACAATTTTCTATTTTTTATAAATAAAAAGGAGAAAAATTTGAATAATTTAGATCATATTACTAATTTACCAATTGAAAGATAAAAATTAGAACTACAATTGAAAATACTATAACAACAGATGATTGTAACTACCATTGAATTGTAACTCTGGAAAAAAATTAAGATTACAATTAATAGAATGATAGTAGTTAAAATTATTGATTTCAATGGTAGTTACAATTAATTGTAATCTTAATCTTTTTCTAATTGAAGTTACCATTAATGGTAGTTACAATTAATTGTTGTTATAGTATTCAATTGAGAAACATTTATAACTACAACTAATTGTAATTCCAATTGAAAAAAGATTATAAGTACCATTAATTCTAACTCCAATTGAAAGAAAAAAATTAGAACTACAATTAATTGTAACTCCAATTGAAAAAATTCGAAAAAACTTGCGTTAATTCGAACTCAAATTGAAAAAAAACTACAAACACCATTAATATTCTAATTCCAATCTAAAAATCTGAATTAAAAATTGGAAAATGAAAAAATTGGAATTAATTCGTTTCAAATTGGAATTACAATTAATTGTAACTACCATGGGTTGTAAATCGTATAGTCATAAAATACAAAGAAAAAAAAATTTAGCCACACGTCCGACATTGTTACGACTAAAATTTTCAACAAACGAAAACACTGCTTTAGATCTGTTTCAGATTACTATGAAAAATAACAACTAAAAAAAAATAAAAAGAAAAAAATGAGTATAATCGTGCAAGTAAATCGCAATATACACTCGTGTGTAATTACAATACAATTGCTCTTCATTGTTACAGTACTGATAAGGCATCCTTGAACCTGACACTGTATGCACTCATGTTTAATCTGAGGGAGTGATTTATACCGGTCACCTGCGTATCTAGCATTCGATCTTTTTCTTCAGTTTTTTTCAATTTCTCTCTCTCTCTCTCTTCTTTTTTATTGACAGTCAGAGACAAAGTATTTTTCAAGTACTTTTTCAAAGTATCGAAACAGCTAGGACTTTATATTTAAAAAAAACAAATTATCATCATTGGGATGTACACTGATATAATTATTTGATCATCGATGCATTCAATTTTATTTCCGAAAGAGAAGATTAAATTATTTATCGTACAAATTGATAGGTAATTATAGATCTGATTTAAGAGAATTTAAAAAATTTTTAATGTTTTATTTTTTTTTTTGTAAATTTTTCAGTATTGTCATTATTTTTTAATGCCACTTGACTCGGGAGGAATATACAACATTGTTGACTGAGATTAAAATTACTGATGTCTGCTCACGATGAGAAAGCAATTTTCTGGTATGATAGTATAATTAGTGGGTGTAGATGGTAAACAACTAGTTTTTCAATTAACCAAAATTATTTGGAATTAAATACCAAAATTATTTATAGCCAAATGGCTATTATCATTAATTGTCAACCATAATTACAACAACAATTACTATTAATTATTTACCATCAACTACCAAACATAGTTTACTATTGACTATTTACCATTAACTACCAACTATAATTACAACAATTACTTTAACTACCAACCATAGTTTACTATTAACTATTTACCATTAATTACCAACCATAGTTTATTATTAATTACTTGCCATTAACTACCAACCATAGTTTACCATTAACCATTTACCATTAACTACCAACCATAATTACAACAACAATGAACTATTAATTAACTATTAACTATTATTAACTATTTATTATTAACTACCAACGATAGATAACCTAAAATAATTAATAGTTATTATTAATTAATGGTAGATAATGATAAAAATGATAAAAAAAGAAAATTTAACAAATAAAGTCAAAGGTAAAAATTAGAATTTTGACATTTTAATTACAATAGCATATACATTTTATAAATAAAAATTATTTTTTTTAAGCGAAACTTTTTCCAAGTTTTCACCGTTTTCTTGGCACTTGAATTCAAAATAAATGGTCGCTCACCAATTAATAGTCTCGTGGCACAATAGCACGTGATCAAAGTGGCTATCGATGAATAAAAAGGCGATTTAATTGAAAACGAGGTTCAATCAAAATAAATGTTTATGTATATAAAGAGAGTTGAGAGAGAAAAAAAATAGAGACAGAGAGAGAAAAAAGGAGCGAGAAAAATAGAGACAGAGACAGAGAGAAAAAAGAGAGAGAAAAATAGAGACAGAGAGAAAAATAGAGACAGAAAGAGAAAAAAATAGAGGCAGAGAGAGAGAGAATGAAATAAACCAACAATATTAGAAGAGAACTACTACAAATAGTATACACACAGACAAATATAGTAGATTCAATAATTACTTATTCTGAACACGATTTGACATGACTTTATCGGAGAATAAGTGGGAGAGAGAGTCACGGACTTGCATCGATTACAACGTTGACAAAACGGATTTACAAGCACCCAATGAGTACGTGCGTTCAGAACGAATTCAAATTGAAAATATGCAACGAGGAAGAGGAGTCCTTTCCACATATATTATCGGACAATTTCACAATAAAATCAATACAGAGTCGACTGTCTGATATTTTTAAACAATTATTTTTCAAATATATTCAGATTTAGTAAAAAAAATAAGTGGAAGAGAAAATTATTTTTTTCTGGAGACTACAACTATTTTCTTTAGTGTTTTTTTTTTAAATATAGTTGTAACAACTATTTTTCGTGACTCTATGTTTGTTACTACGATAGGTAATTAAATAAATAAATGTATAAGTAAATCTATGAAAATAAATAAGTAGGAAAAATATATCAAAGCAAATAAATAAGTAAACTAATAAATCAGTAAATAAATAAAGCTGGAAATCAAAAAGTTAATGAAATTAATTAATATTAATTAAATAATTTTAGTTAATTAATTAATAATAATAATAAATAATAATAATAATAAATTAACAATAAATAAGTAAATAAGTGGAGTAAGTAAGTGAATAAATCAGTAGGTAAATCAGTAAGTAAATCAGTAAATAAGTAAGTAAATAAATAAGTAAATCAATTAACCAATAAACAAATAAGTAAATAAACAGCTTAATAAATCAGTAAATAAATCAATAAATAAGTTAATAAGTAAACCAAAAAATAAAGAAACCAGTAAATTAAGCAATAAATAAGTTAAAAAATAAATAAATCAATAAATAAATCAATAAACAAATAAGTAAATAAACAACTAAATATTTTCATAACTCAATAAGTCAATAAATAAATTAATGAACAAATAAGTAAATGAACAAGTAAATAAATTAGTAAATAAATATGCAAATAAATAACTAAATAAATTTATAACTGGAAAAGTTTATAAATATGTAAATAAATATGTAAATAAATATGTAAATAAATTTGTGAATAAACATGTAAATAAACATGTAAATAAATATGTAATTAAATAAGTAAATAAATCCTCAAATCAATCAGTTAATAAATATATAAATAAGTAAATAAATTAGTAAATTATCAAGTAATTAAATAACTAAGTAAATCGATAACTCAATAAGTCAATAAATAAGTAAATAAATATGTAAATAAATTTTTGAATAAACATGTAAATAAATTAGTAAATGAGTAAGTAAATAAATAACTAAGTAAATCCATAACTGAATAAGTCAATAAATAAGTAAATAAATATTTTTATTTTATTTTTATTTTAAATATGTAAATAAATGTGTAAATAAAAAAATAATTTTTATTTATTTATTTAAACATACGAATGCTAGTTTTCACGAAATCGTATTGAACTCGCAATATAAAAAAATGCACAGACGAAAAAAATTGAATAACATAGAAAATTAAAAGACTTATTAACAATAAATAATCTTGCACAACATTTTAGCATCGATATATAGCGAGGAAAATTTATTGCCAATATATTTTGCGACGACCTACCTAATATGAAAAAACGATTTGTCTTTTGTTTACTAACGTAGAAGAAAAAAAAAAAGAATTGAATGAAGAGAGACAGTTTATCGAACTATGAAATGAATTCTCAGCTTTTTGTTGTCAAGAGAGAATAATATTTTTTGAAATGAAAAATATATTATTTATCTTCAAAAAAGAAAAAAATTAATTAAAAATTTAAAATTGTAAAATTACTCTTTCCACTAAATGGCAATTCTTCTTTTTTAAATAAATAAAATGAAAAATAATAAATAAAACAAATAAAGTAAATTAAATAAAATTAAATAAATGAAATATGTGATATAAATTAAATAAGTGAAATAAATTCAATAAATTAAGTAAATTAAATTAATTAAATTAAATAAATTAAATAAATTAATAAAATTAAATAAATTAAATAAATTAAATAAATTAAATAAATTAAATAAATTAAATAAATTAAATAAATTAAATAAGTTAAATAAACTAAATAAATTAAAATAAATTTTTATATAAATTTTTAAATAAATATATTGTGATTGATTTACAAAGAAGGAAATACACAAATCGAAAGTGTAATTATTTCCGTTTTTTTTTTTTTTTTAATTATTTTTCCATTTAATTGAAATGCGTCAAGTATCTACTATATATAAATTGTTGAAATTAATTAAATTGGAAAGCATTTTGATGTTTCAATTGTCAAAGGAAAATGCTTTTAATCAATTTTTTTGTTTCTTTTTTTTTATTTTCGTTAAAGTAACTTCGAGAATAAAAGTTGAAAAAAATTTATCAAGTGGTTAAAATACAATTAAGCATAGTAATTATTGAATACGTATATATATATATATATATATATATATATATATATATATATATATATATATATATATATATATATATATATATATATATATATATATATATATATATATATATATATATAGATATATGAGACGATAACTCACGTATGAGTGGCCATTGTTTTGATTTGGCGCGCTTTGCACAATTTAGTTCCTTGATTACACTCTCGTATAATGCATCGCATCGAAATTCAGGTGATAAACCTTGGATCTGAAAAAGGAAAATAAAATGCCTTTTAGAATTTAATGGAAGAAAATTAATTACTATAATCAAAATAATAATTATAATTTATTTGTAAAAAAAGACCAGTAGTAAAAAAAATACAATAATAATAATTATTATTATTATTTAGAATGAAAAATTATTTACTATAACAAAAAAATAATAAAACAAATAAGAATAGTAATAATAATAATAATTGCCTAATTATAATAATAATTATTATTACCTACTATTTTATTATTATTTTCATGATAGTAATTAATTTTCTTCTATTCAATAAATATATAAATAAATATTATTATCATTATTATTTTTTTTTAGTAATTAATTAACTGGTAATTATTAGCAGTTCTAAATTATTAACCAGAAGATAATTAACAGTTACAATAATATTAACACTTCATTATATAATTGTCATCAGTTAATTATTATTAGTTTTTTTAAAAAAAAATTAATTACAAACTAAGTAATTAGTTAACAATTTTTTTTTCATATATTATAATTTATAATCAACTAATTATCCATACTGTCATTACAGTAGTTGCAGATAATTTTCGATTATTCGTTGTTCAAAAGAAAAAAAAAGTATGACACTTGTATTTTGAAAATTGTTAGAATAATATTTACATTTTTAGTTTCTTTTTTAAATAACATATGGTTATTAATATTCACGTACTCGATGTATAAAGTTAAAAAAAAATAAATTCTCTAGATAAAAAATTACTACAATTCTATTGACGTTTTAGAGGCTGAGTACGTGACCGATAAAAAAAAAGTTGACGTATTTTTTTCATAATCACCACATTTCGTGTTTAATAGATTTTTAGTGTATTTTATCCTCTTATCAATGCTTTAAATATTTTTTCAAATGTTTTAATTGTGGACAGGAGAGAAAAAAAATATGTGGAAGAAGATTTGCGAGAATTTACATTTGTATTTGAATAATTAAGTTGTTATAAATAATTTTGTGTATAAAAAACCAGATTTTAATAATTTGTTTTTTTAATTTGATGTACATTATTTAACACTGTATAAGTTAATTTAAAATTCTGATAAATAAACTTTTTTTTCTCTAATATTGAACGAGTGGTTTTTATATTAATTATTTTCAATTCCAAAGTAATAAAATTCTTCACAAAAAATTCAATTATGTTCAAAATTTTTTGAAAATTCTCGTCAAAATTTCAATTATTTTTAGAAATAATTAAATTCTTCTCCGAAATTTAATTATTTTTAAAAATTTTAATAAAATTCTTGTCAAAATTTCAGTTATTTCCAAAAATTTTCCTCAATTCAATGATTTTTAATATCTACGCAAATCTTTAATTATTTTCGTAAAATAATTAAATTTTCACAAGAATTAAATTATTTACAAATTTTTTTATAAATTTCTTCCCAATTTAAAGTTTTCAATCAAAAATTAATTAATTAATTATTAATTATTATTTTATCAATTATTTTCATAAATAATAAAACACATCGCAGAATTTCAATTATTTTGAATACAATAAATTTTAATCGAATTCCTCACAAAATGTAATTATTCTTAAAAATTTTATTAAAATTCGTCGAAAGAATTTAATTATTTAAAAAAATTTTGATAAATTCTTTATTGGAACTGTATTTTAAGAAACATTCAATTATTCAATAAATTAAGTTTTTGTATAATTTAAATCATTGAATTGAATTTAGAAATTATTTTCAAAAGCAATCAAATTCTTTTCCAAAATTCAATTGGTTCAATAAATAATAAAATTTTTTACAGGGATTGAATTATTAACACAAATAAAAAAAATTCTTTTTAGGAATTCTATTATTGTTATATAAATAAAATTCATAGCAGAATTTCAATAATTTTTAATAGATTTTTAATCAAATTCCTCGACAAATGTAATTGTTCTTAAAAATTTTATTAAAAATCGTCAAAAAAAAATCAATTATTTAAAAATGTTTTTTGATAAAATTCTTTATCATTATTCAATTTTAAGAAATATTTAATTATTGAATAAATTATTTATTTTTGCATTTAAATAATTGATTTCTCGCAGAATTTTCTAATAAAAATTAATTTAAAAATGAATTTTAGTTAAAATTTTTAATTTGAAAGTGTTTATTATTTAATTCAATTGAAGAATTTCAGAATAATTGAAATTTCGTAAAATTGAATTGTTAACAAAAATGGATTTGAAAATTCTCAAAGAAATTTTTCCAAAATTATTAAAGATAATTGATGTAAAGAAAAATTCTATTTATTCTTTTCCAAAATTTAAATATTTTTAAAATTTTTAATAAAATTCTTGGCTAAATTCAATTCTTTTAAAACTTTTAAATAAAATCTTTTTAATTTTTGGCAAAATTTCAATTATTTTCAAAAATTTGCCTCAATTTCATACGAATTTTATTTTTTACAATTTTTTTAATTTTCTTCGCAATAATTTAATTATTATCAATAAATTATCAAATTTTTTACAAGTATTGAATTATTTTCATAAATAATAAAATTCTTTTTAGGATTTCAATTATTTTCATAATTAGAATTCATCGCCGAATTTCAATTATTTTTAATATAATTTTAATCGAATTCTTAACAATTTTATTAAAAATCGTCAAAAAATCAATTCTTTAAAAATGTTTTTGATAGAATACTTTGTGAAAATTCAATTTCAAGAAATATTTAATTATTCAAAGAATTATTTATTTTTGCATTTAAATAATTGAATAGTATAATTTTCTAATAAAAATTAATTTAAAAAATGATTTTCAGTTTAAATTTTATAATATTTGAATATTAAAAGCATTATAGCATTAATTTTAAGAAATAATTGAATTTTGAAAAAGTTTCAAATTAAATTCGTTGAAAATCTTAATTTTTCATACTTATAACCAAAAATTCTGTAGAATTAATTATTTTGAAAAAAGTTTATTTTAATTTTACATGAAATTATTTTTTTGAATTTTTTTTCCAATATATATTTAATTGAAGAATTTCCGTATAATCGAAATTTTGTAAAATTGAATTGTAATCAAATGAATTTGAAAATTCTTAAAGAAATTTTTCAAAAATTATTTTAAAAAATTGATTTACAGAAGAATTTTAGTTCAAAAAACCCTAAAAAATATTTTCCAAAAGAATTCAATTATTTCGAAAAAATTTTAGTAAAATTCTACGCAAACATTTAATTATTTTCATAAATAATAAAAATTTCACAGGAATTCAATTATTTACAAATTTTTTATAAGCTTCTTCGCAATAATTCAATTATTTTCATAAATAACAAAATTTTTACAGGGATTCAATTACTTTCGTAAATAATAAAATTCTTTTTGGAAATTCAATTATTTTCACAAATAATAAAAGTCATCGCAGAATTTCAATTATTTTTAATACAATTTTAATCTAATTTCTCGAAAAGTGTAATTATTCTTATTTATTAAAATTCGTCAAAAGAATTCAATTATTTAAAAATTTATGAGAATTTATGAGAATTCAATTTTAAGAAACATTCAATTATTCGATAAATTATTTATTTTTGTATTTAAAATTTTAAATAATTGAATTCTAGTAGAATTTTCTAATAAAAATTGATTAAAAAATAAATTTCAGTTAAAATTGTAGAGGATAATTAAATATTATAAGCAATATTGTGTGAATTTTAAGAAATAATTTAATTTTGAAATTAATTTTTCTGAAAAAGTTTAATTGCAGATTTTCTTTGAAATTATTTAAAGTTTTTATTTTCTAATATATATTTATTTGAAGAATTTACGAATAATTGAAATTTCGTAAAATTGAATATTGTAAAAAAAAAATGAATTTGAAAATTGTCAAAGAACTTTTTCGAAAATTTATTAAAAATAATTGATTTAAAGAAGAATTTTATTTAAAAATTCTAGAAAATAATAAATTGAATTAAAATGATGAAGATAATTTAAAAAAAAATTACAGTAAAAGTATTCATATTATAGAAAAAAATGATCTTATCATTTGTTTCCGAGATGCTCGCCCCAGGGTGCCCCGAGGCTACCGAAGGTTCTCAAACTCAGTTTATTATTTATCGTTTGTTTTCATGAAAAACTGAAAACATTAAAAAAAAACATTACAAAAAAACATTAAAAACTGAGTTTGAGAACCTCGGTTATCTTTAATTTATTATAAGTTGTTAAATTTCAAAAAGGTTTGAATTTGAAATTTTTGAAAATTTTCATTCCTGTGTAAAAATAATAATGATTAAATATTTATTTAGAAAAGAAGTTATTCATGTTTTCGAATAATTTTACAATCGTTTTTAACAAATAGAAATTTTGTTAATATTTTTTTCCAAAATAAATAAAAAAATTTCTTAAACAAACTTTTTATTTATAAAGATTTTTTTTTACTCCTCTTAATTTTTAATTATATAAAATAAAAATAGTTACTTCTAAAGAACTGGAATCTTCTTAATTTTTAATTCTATTTCTTCCACTGTAGAAAATTAATAATTACACGAAAAAAAATATTCACCTGGAGCAGCTATAAATTTCACTAGATTAGTCAAATTTTTAGTTGTTTCAGTTAAGACTTTCGCTATTTTAGAGAAACTTATCGCTGTTACAGGTGAAATTCTTTTTCCTTGTAAAAATTAATATTAATATTAATATTGAAAATTAATATTAATATTAATTTTTAATATTAATATTAATATTGAAAATTAATATTAATATTAATTTTTAATATTAATATTAATATTAATTTTTAATATTAATTAATATTATTTGTGTTTTGAGGTTTAAGCCAAAGAATCATGATTCTTTGGCCTAAACCTCAAAACAAAAATTATATTACGATCCAAAAACTGACTTTTAAGTTTTAACAAATTAATTAATATTAATATTAATATGAAAAATTAATAATTAAAATGAAAAATTGCAAATAAATGGAGATAAACAGATAAAGTGAAATGAAAAGGAAACTTTTTTTGATTACAGGTAGCCGACTCGTACGATGGTGACAACACAGAATGACAACGAGAGAAATGTTGGCGGTGGTGATGGAGGTGGGGGTGGTGGCGGGGGTGGTGGTGGTGATGAAAAGAACACAACAGTGTTTACAGTTTCTGTGAGTGGTGTTGGCTATAGAAATGAGGGTTTCAAGGACGATGGTACGATGGACGGTATACCGCCAGAGCCAAGAAAACCACCGCAATTACCCGCGAGTGATGACGATACACAATCGAGAAAATTTAAATTGTCGCGCAGCGAAAAATGGCGTATCCTCAAAAATATTGGCACAGTGTCGATAGCATTTATGGTGCAATTCACTGCATTTCAAGGCACAGCGAATTTACAATCGTCAATTAATGCTAAAGAGGGCCTCGGCACAGTATCATTGTCAGCAATTTACGCTGCACTTGTACTCTCGTGTATTTTTATACCGACATTTGTGATAAAGCGACTCACTGTTAAATGGACATTGTGCGTTTCAATGTTGTGTTATGCGCCATATATTGGCTCACAATTTTATCCACGTTTTTATACATTGGTACCAGCTGGCGTACTATTGGGCCTTGGCGCCGCTCCAATGTGGGCGGCAAAAGCGACCTACCTCACTCAAGTTGGCGGTGTTTACGCGAAACTCACCGATCAACCCGCCGACGCTATTGTTGTTCGATTCTTTGGATTTTTCTTTCTCGCTTGGCAAACGGCGGAACTCTGGGGAAATCTTGTATCCTCTCTCGGTAAGAAGTTTTAATACATTTCCTCTTTTTTCTTTTTTTATATGTGAATTATCACTTTATTTTTATCTTCCCACTCCCCTCTTTTTCTACTCTTATTTATCTCTACTAGTATTTCTTACCACTGTTTTCCTAAAAAATGTCAAAATTATCCCCAATTGGATCAAAATGATCCAAAAATTGAGATCAAATTCTGATTTGATCCACTTTTTGAGATCAATTCGTTCCAATTTGATCCTTTTTAGTTAACAGTAATAACCCTGTAATGATTTTCTATTTGTATATTAAAAAAAACTTTGAATTTAATTATTAATTAAATAGTATTAGTATTTTATTTATCAAGGCATGGATCTCCAGTCCAATTAATACAAAAATTTGCTTTTAAATATTATTTTTCATTAAATAAAAAGTTTAATATTTTTCGAGAAAAAAGAGAATCGAACACAAAATTAACATTTAAAAAAATAAATAAATTTATATTTCTGTATTCAAACGTTTATTTTTTTTTGACAATATTCCAGAAGAAAAGACAATCGAATACAAATTGTCATTAAAAAAAGTGAATGTTTAAATAAAAAAATATAAATTTAGTCATTTTTTTTAAATATTACTTTGTACTAGCAACAATTGGCGCGCTAAAGCGCGTGGCTAACTTTTTAGGATAAAATAAGCAATTTTAAAAATAATAGAATTTAAAAATTTATAATTCAAATTTTTGTTGAAAACACTAAAAAAAAAATCCAATTTTGGAAAAATTACAAATAATTGCAGAAATTCGATTATTTTCAAGAGTGATAAAATTCTTCTCATAAAATTAAATTATCTTTCAAATTTAAAAAAAAAATTCTCGTCAAAATCCCAATTATCTTTATATAAATAACAAAACTCTTCCCCAAAGTTCAATTATTTTCAAATCAATTTCAAATTCCCAAAAATAGTACGCAAACATTTAATTATTTTCATAAATAATAAAAATTTCTCAGGAATTCAATTATTTACAAATTTTTTTATAAATTCCTTCGCAATAATTCAATTATTTTTATAAACAATAAAAATTTTTTTTAAAGAATTCAATTATTTTCATAAAAAATAATTCAAAATTGTAGAAAATAATAATTGATTTGAAATGATGAAAATAATTTTGAAAAAGTTACTGTAATAATATTCTTTTAATATAAAACAATGATTTTATCACTCGGTCATCTTTAATTATTATGAAACATGAAGAAATCGATCACTCCGAGTCTTTGACTCGGAGCAATCGCTATCTTCATGTTTTATAAAAATATTCTTATAATTTATTGAATTTAAAAAGATTTGAATTTGAAATTTTTTGAATTCTTAATTTCTATGGAAAAATAATATTCATTAAATATTTATTTAAAAAAAAAGTTATTGATGTTCTTGAATAATTTTACAATTAAAGAAATTCGTAAATAAATGTAACAGAACATTTTTTTGAGTAAAATTTTTTCCTTTATTTTCTAAAAATTTAAAAAGTTTCAATTTCATTGTCAATTAAAATTTTTAATTGACAAATATAGAATAGCATTTGTAATGTTTCTTTTCCAAAAGAAAAGAATGACTTTCTGAACAATATTGTTATTGAGAAATATAAATTATTATATTTCCTATTTCTTAATTATGATTTTTTAACAATTAACAATTTTATATTTTTTATAAATAAAATAGAGAAAAATTTGCATAATTTAGATCAGTCAAACGAAATTTGTTATACAAAAAAGCATATAATTAACAAAATTTATTCGTTAATCATAATTTTTTTATATTTTCTAATTTCAAATATTGTTTTATAATCAGGAAAAAATACCTGCATATTTTCGATTTGTCAAACAATATTTTTTAAAGAAATAAAAAATCAAAAAGACAATCGAATGCAAATTGTCATTGAAAAAAGTGAATGTTTAAATAGAAAAATATAAATAGAAAATAAGTTAATAAATAACAACAATTCTTTGTTTAAACAATTGCTAAAATATCGATTTGACATTTAATATTTATCGGTTAAAATTGGGTCCAAAAATTGCAAAATTAGAAAAAAACTGCACCTTTTTAGGTAAAATAGAAAAAAAGTTGATAAATAACAACAATTATTTGTTTAAACAATTGTTAAAATAGCGATTTGACATTTAACATTTATTGGTTATTATAAGTAGGTCCAAAAATTGAAAAATTAGAAAAAAAAATTGCGTCTTTCTAGGTGTAATAGAAAAAACGTTAATAAATAATAACAATTAATTGTTTAAACAATGTTAAATAATAACTATAGTAAATTTAAATAAAAATTTTATTTAATTTATTAATTTAGCATTAAATAATAATACCAATATTAGCTGCTAAATTTATAGAAATTTTTTTTCCTCTATTTTGTTTTTGTAATTGTTATAAATTACCAATAATAAATTGTTTTAACAAATGAAATTCAATTAGGTTAAAAATTTCAAGAAAATTCTTGTCACAATCCCAATTATTTTTATAAATAAATAACAAAATTCTTCCCCAAAGTTCAAATATTTTCAAAAATTTAAATAAAATTCTTGTCCTAATTTCAATTATTTTCAAAAAACTTTTCTCATTTCAATAATTTTTAATTATCTAACTATTTTAATAAAATTTTCCAAAAAGAATTAAACTATTTAAAAAAAATTTTTCAATAAAATTGTACGCAAACATTTAATTATTTCCATAAATAATAAAAATTCCACGGGAATTCAATTATTTACAAATTTTTTATAACTTTCTTCGCAATAATTCAATTATTTTCATAAAAAATAAAATTTTTTTTAAGGATTTCAATTATTCTTATGAAAATAATTGAAAATTCTAGAAAATTTCAAAAAGGTTTGAGTTTGAAATTTTTTAATGTCTTAATTCCTGTGGAAAAATAATAATAATTAAATATTTATTTAAAAAAAGAAGTTATTGATGTTTTTGAATAATTTTACAATTAAAGAAATTCGTAAATAAATGTAACAGAACATTTTTTTGAATAAAATTTTTTACTTTATTTTCTAAAAATTTAAAAAGTTTCAACTTCACTTTCAATTAAACATTGTAATTGACAAATGGAATTTATAAACATTTTGTTCCTTCATTTTAAAAAAAATTTGAATTTTATTAAAGCAATTATAATATATAAGAAATAGAAATGATGCAAATCATTTCCTTCGGAAAATTGAGAATTTTTTACAAAAATATTAAGAAATGGGAATATGAAAATGTTTTTAGAATCAATTTGCGAACAATATTGTTATTGAGAAATAAAATTTATCAATAAAATTTACTAATTCAAAAGCAAAATTTAGTAAACACTTTATGATTATTTTTTCCCTATTGACCAAAAAATTTTGACCTAAATTATAATAATAATTATAATAATAATAATATAATATAATATATTATTATAATATTATATATATTATATTATATTATATTATAATATATTATTATTATTATTATTATAATTATAATAATAATTTATTAATATTGCTATTAAATGGAAAATTTATTTTTCTATACTATCGTTTAAATAATTAAGTAAATTCCTTTAAAAAAAATTTTGCACAATATTTATCAACTTTTTGCCTAAGTTTGCCTATTTATCTGTAAAGTTTGCCTTAAATTACTTTTAGTTAAAAAAAATTTTTTTGTAATATTTATTTAATAATTGAGTAAATAAATAATAATTAATTTTACAAATAAACAATTTAATACAGCTATACATATTTTTCTTGATTTTCAAAAATTTCTAATAAAATTTGTTTTATACTCTACGTTTACTTTACAACCGAAAAAAATGATTCTGGCGCAAAAAAAAAACTGAAAATCGTCAAATTCGAATCTTTTGATTCAAATTTGATGATTATCAACATTTTTCTTTTGCGACAATAATCATTTTCAGAAAATAGTCTCGAAATGAATAATTAAAAATTCACCGCAAGTAGACGAGATTTAATTAGAAAAATAGCGCCTCAAGATTTGCTGTAATAGAAAAAAGGGGAGGGGGAGGATAAACAAGTTAACCTTGCAGCTGGATTACCTTCGGCAAAAAGGAGAAACATTAAGAAAAAAAGTAGAAAAAAAAAAAATTGAACATCATAATTGTAAAAGAAAAACAGTGATACAGAAACTCCTCTTAGATTATTCGGAGTCTAACGTTTTCAGTGATAGAGGTAAGCGTGCAGTCAGGCAACGTCTGACGTAAAATCCCTATGCTCCACTTGTTAGATTTCACGTGGCAAATTGAGTTATCCTGACTTTTTTTTAAAATTCTTTTCTCTTTCTTTCTTTCTTTTGTAATTCCTTTTCAAACGCTACGGGGATTTTTGAAATGAAATGAAAAAAATTTCTCAATTTATTTTCTATGTAATTTCTTATTTTTCTCGAAATGAAACGAAAGGAATCTTTAGGAGAATGTTAATGGCAAGAGAGACAGAGAGAGAGAAAGAGAGAAAGAAAGAGAAAAAGAGAGACAGAAAAGGACGACAAGTGTGATATAAAATTAGCGGAGAAGAAAAGGGGGCTCTCCTCTCTTGGACTTGGGAGATCGAAAGAACGCCTGAGGCACGTTAAGAAACAAGATTTATCCGGTATAAACCCACGCAAGTCACTTTTTTTCGTACCACCTCGCGCATTCCCCACTTTTGATAATAAAACGAATTCCACAAATGTCCGACTTTTGATTTAATTTAACTTTCTTTCTTTCGCTTCGTTTTTTCCTGTTCCTTCTCTCATTTGTCAATTGATTTCAAACGTATCATAACTAACTCGCTAATTAAATGGCTAATTAATTTGACACTTAATCATTGAATTAATTCTTTTATTAATCGTAAAATTCATTTGGTAATTAATCATGAAATTACTCTCTAAATTTGAATTAGGAAAAATGTTTACTAATTTGAATTAGTGACTGATTCTTTGCTTTTGAATTAGTAAATTTCACTAATAAATTAGTAGAAATTATCTATTTGGTAGTAAAATTTACTAATTCAAAAGCAAAAACTCAGTCATTAATTCAAATTAGTAAACATTTTTACTAATTAAAATTTAGAGAGTAATTTGTTAATTACTCATGAAATTAATTTAGTAATTAATCATGAAATTATTTTATTCACTATTTGGCTAATTAATTTCGTAATTAATTAGGAAATTAATTTTGTGATTAATTGTGAAATTATAATTAAACATTTTGTTTATTGGATTTTTTAATTAATTAATTTTATGTTTTAGAAATTAATAAAATAATTTACTAGTTTAGTAAATAATTAACTAATATACTAGTTCAATAATTAATTAACTAATTTACTAGTTTAGTAAATAATTAACTAATATACTAGTTCAATAATTAATTAACTAATTTACTAGTTCAGTAAATAATAAAATAATTTACTAGTTCAGTAAATAATTAACTAATTTACTAGTTCAGTAAATAATCAACTAATTTACTAGTTCAGTAAATAATTAACTAATTTACTGGTTCAGTAAATAATTAACTAATTTACTAGTTAAATAAATAATTAACTAAATTACTAGTAAAGTAATTTACTAGTTAAATAATTAATTAATTTATAAACTAGTAAACGTCTTACTTAGGTAACTAGTAAATTAGTTAATTATTTACTGAACCAGTTAATTAGGTAATTAATTACTGAAATATTAAATTAATTAATTCCTGAACTAGTAAATTAGTTAATTAATTACTACCTAAACTAGTAAATTTATTACTTACTAAAGTAGAAAATTTATTAATTAATTACTATTGTAGTAAATTAATTAATTAATAACTAAACTAGTAAATTTATTACTTACTGAACTAGTGAAATAATTAATTAATTATTGAACTAGTAAATTAGTTATTTACTAAAATAGTAATTTAATTAAGTAATTAATTACTAATCTGTAAATTTATTACTTCCGAAACTAGTAAATTGGTTATTTACTAAAGTAGTAATTTAATTGAGTAATTAATTACAATGTAAATTTGTAAATTTACATTGTAAATGTAAATACTGGACTAGTAAATAAATTAATTACTTAACTAGTAAATTAGTTATTTACTAAAGTAGTACTTTAATTAAGTAAATAATTACTAAAACAGTAAATTTATTACTCACTGAAATAATTTATTAATTGATTAATTAATTACTAACCTAGTAAATTTATTATTAATTTATTAAATTAATAAATTAATAAATTTATTCGTTCAGTAAGTAATAAATTTACTAGTTTAGTAATTAATTAATTATTTTACTACTACTAGTAAATTTATCATTAACCGAACTGGTAAATTAATTAACTACTTAACTAGTAAATTTATTATTTACTGATGTAGTAGTTTAATTAAATAATTAATTTTTAAAGTAGTAATCAAGAAATTTACTAGTTTAGTAATTAATTAACTATTTCAGTTAGTAATAAAATTACTACTCTAGTAATTAAATACTTAATTAAACTACTACATCAGTAAATAATAAATTTACTAGTTGAGTAATTAATTAATTTACTAGTTTGTCAATTAATTAATTTACTAGTTCGGTAGGGGAACATAGTCTAGGTCGGCCACCTTTTTGACTTTTGTTTATAACTTTTTTTTAAAAATGAATTTGGACAATTGAAGTATATGGTTGGAAAGTCCTGTTTAATAGGAACATTTTTTCTGTACAAAGTAAATTGACAGGTTTAAAAATGAAAAAGTTATAAAGATTTAAAAAAAAAAAAATTTGTAGTCCAGGTTGGCCATTACAGTCAAGGTCGGCCATGTTTAAAATTCAAAGGGCATTAATCGTTAAAAACTAAAATAACATGTTTGGAGTTACGGAAAATTGATTCTTTATTGTTTACAGTTTGTAACTTAATGAAATAACAAAATAATAACAATAAACAATATAAAAAAATAAATATAAATAAAAAAAAGTTTTGCACTAAAATATTAATAAAATTAAATAAAAATATTAATAAGATGATCAATTATATTATGAGTTATACAGAATTGCAGTTTTTGCAAATGAAGTAGCTCGTCCTCAACTTTGCGCATTTTAAACACATAGTGGCCGACCTTGACAGTAAGTAACATTACCGAATTGTTGTAACCATAAAGAAATACGTTTCGGGATTCGATTTTTTACTTTGTTTTCCTTTCAACCATGAGTCCCACAAATTTTCTGCATACTTGCCTTGACGATTCAATTTGTTTTTTATCTTTTATTAATGGTTTTTCACATTATGCACAAAACTTTTTTTGAGCTTTTTTTGTACCGACGTCACAGAAAACACAATTTTCGATTTTCCGAAAATGTAATTGAACAAAAAGTTAGGTTTCACTAAGACAAGCTTCGACAAAAATGCGCGTAGGTGGCGCTAGTGAACTTGACAAAAAAACGCGAGTGGCCTACCTAGACAGTAGGCCAACCTTGACTACATTCCCCTATATAATAAATTTACTAGTTTAGTTATAAATTAATTTGATATTTCAGTAATTAATGAACTAATTTACTAGCTAAAGAAGTAATAAATTTACTAGTGAAATAATTAATTAATTTATTAGTTCAGTTAGACTAAAATTTACTAGTCCATTAATTATTTAATTAATTGCTTAACTAGTTTGATAATAAATTTATTTACTAGTTTAGTAATTAATTAATTAATTTACTAGTTCAGTAAGAAATACATTTACTCGTTCAGTATTTAATTAAATAATAACTTTACTAGTTTATTAATTAATGAACTAATTTACTAGTTCAGTCATTAATCAACTAATTACTTATTGATTTAGGTCATCAATTAGGTGATTATTTATAAAGAACCTTAATTTATTCGTTAATAAATTATTCCTTAATTTAAATTGTATTATTTATAAATTAATTATCTCATTACTTTTGTTAATTAAAGAGGCAATAAATAATAAATTTTTCAATTGTCAAATTTTTGTTTGTTGATATATTGACTAGCAATATATCCAGATTAAATATTAATTCTGATTATAAGAAATTACTATAATTTTACTAAAAAGAAAAATATATCGAATGGGGCAATTATTTGTGTGTATCTGGAATCAAAGTGGCGCAAGCAAAAAGAACGTGGGGAGCTCCGGTAAAGGTCAAGATTGTATCGAGTCCTTGTCGAGGTCGATCGGCAAAGCGAATGACGTTCCTGAGAGCATTATAAACGAAGGTCACAAACCTTCTATATACTTGAAATGGAAAACCCACGCCTTATTTGGCTTTTGCCATTTTATATAATAAATTGCAAAATTATATCACCAAATTTTTTATTTCATTTTTATTCATCTTTCCTTTTTGCTTTTATTCCCTTTTCTATAATATCTATAATCAAAATAAACCCACTTTTTGCCTCTGGATTGAAAATAAAAAATTTTTTCAAACTACTACAAAAAAATGATACATTTTTTCTGATATTTAACTAAATTTTTTTATTTTAAAGTTTAAACTATTAATTATTAATTATTTTAAATTTTTCCTATAATTTCAAAAAAAAAAAAAAAAAAAAAAAAAATGGAATAGAATTTAAAAAAGAAATAGAAAAGAAGTATGATATTGAGGAAGAAATTTGAAATACGAAGTCGAATTAAATTAATATTTCATTTTAATTTCTTTTAATATTAATTAACAAGTGACTTTATAAAATAATCATTATGAACTAATTATTTAATTTCTAATTATTATGTAAGATTTACCTAAAATTATTTTCAAATTATTTCTCTCTTCTTTTTTTTTTTTATTTTTTATAATCACGTCGGAATAAGTACATTGACTTTTTAAGATAATTGTCAAGAGAGAAAAATTTTTTTTCTTTTTTTTTTAATGAAAATAGAAGAAAGTGCGTCTATAAATATGTGAAATATTTGTATAATATGTGTCAGCTCTCGGATAGTTTAGTGAAAGTCACACGCAAAACTTTTAAAAATTGAGAATAGACGAATTTTTTTAAGACAAATTTTTAGGTTCGAATTAAATTTGAATTTGAAAAAAATTTCTAAATAAAATTCTAAATGATAAATAATTCAAAGTACTCTAATTATACTAACTAATGTATTATTTCTATAATTATTACTATTTAGTTTTATTTATTTATTTATATATGTATATTTATTTATTTATTATCTAATTATGCTAATTATTATATTATTTCTCTAATTATTACTATTTATTTTTATTTATTTATTATTTAACTATACAAATTATTATATTACTTCTCTAATTATTTTTTATTTACAGATAACACCAGACCAAAAATTATTATTATTTCTAATTAATAATGCTAATTATTTTAATCATTTTTCTCATTTTTTTCTTTTCTCAGTCAAGTGATAAAAATGATTTTTTCACTTGATAATTTCCGATGAAATTATTATGAATTAAAAACTAAGAAAATATCAATTAATTTAATATTAAAATAACAAAAGTAATTAGTATTTTAATTCTAATTTTTTACTTTTTATTTGTTAAATTATTTGTTAAATATTTGTTAAATATTTTTTTAAACTGTTTAATTATTTGCCGAATAATATTCAATTTAATTGGATTTTTGATCTAATTTTTAAATATTTTGAAAAATAACATTTCTCGTTTTGATTTCAGTTTTAAGTGGAGGCGAATTCGGAGGTGGAAACAGCTCTGTCAGTAATGACAATGCAAAAGTGAAATTATGTGGAGCGGATTTCTGTGTTCATGCAAACGGTGCACACGAGAGCTTGGACAGACCACAAGATTCGGAGATTTATGAAATCTCAGCAATTTATTTATCTTGTGTGTTGGTCGCCGTTATGATTGTCGCACTCTTCGTGGATCCACTCTCCAGGTAAGAATTAAAATTTATTTCAAAAATATTCAAAAAAAAATATATTTTCAATAATTACTCCAAAAAAAAAGAAATAAATACCAATTTTGTCTCTTAGTTATGAGACTGAAAGCTTTTTTAGTCAATAGAAAAAAATAGAGAATAAAAAAAATATGTAGAATAGAAAATGGAAATAAAGAAGGAAAAGAGAAAAAATTAATAAAAATTCAAAAAAAATACATAAAAAAAAATTAAATTAACTAGTTCAATTAATTAGAAAAAATAAAATAGTTAAAAAAAATTTTTAACTGAATTAAAAAAATTAAAAATGTTTCAAGTAATTAGAATTAAATAGTAATAAATTAAATAAATAAATTAATCAATTAATTAAAGTAAGCAACACTTTAAATATAAATGACAATTAAAATTACCACAAAAAATATAATTTCAAAAAATTATTACATAATTATTAAAAAAAAATTAAATAAGTAAAAAATGAATACAAAGAGATTAAATTTATTTTTCGTGGAAAGAAAATCAGAAATTAAAATTAAACTCATTAGAGAAGAAATCACAAACGTAAAAAACAATGTTGAATTAATATACAAAATTCCTAGCGGAAGAAGAATTTGCAAAAGAATCATTCCACAGTGACAGGCGTCTACCAAGAAATTATTATAATTTTATTATTTCAAACCGTTACATTATTTCTATATATATTGACATTAAATGAGTAAATTTATCGTTCTCGTCATTAAGAAAAAAAAATTCAAATTAATCAATTACGGAAGCAATTGGGCAACATTATAAATTATTTATCGATAAATTTTGCGCTCCACTTCTGACTAAAGCAAAATTGAATTTGAAGAAAAAAATAATTAAAAAAAAAACCTACTTCCTTAGAATTGAAATTATCGTTCAGTTAAATTCGAAATTAATTTATAAAAAAAAAAAAATTAAATAAAATTGTTTTATTATTAATAATAAAGTAAAATTTAAAATGGTTTTTCCCATTTGGATTGATTGCAAGTCTGCGCATAAATTTTCGGCTCCGCGGAACAAAAGTGACATCACAAAAACCTTGACTCATGATACAATATCGTTATTAAGATTTTTGTCTGATAAAAAAAAAAAAAAATTTTAATCACACGTCATCATAATAAACAAAAACAGAATATTAATTAGAAACACTTTTACTTCCTGGAATTAGAATAATAATAATATTCTAAATTCAAGCCCTCTTTTGTTTTTCAATTTGGGGAAAATAAGAAAATTTTCCTAATTTTTTCAATTAATTAAAACTGTAATTAAATTAATATTAATTAAAACTGTAATTAAATTAATATTAATTAAAATTGTAATTAAATTACTAATTAAGTTAAAAAAGCTGTGTTCCTTAAAGAGTTTTTTACCCCAAGGGGACAAAAATTTCCTTGAATAATATTCAATTTAGAAATTTAATTTAATAATTCGATTTTAAAATTAATTAACAGAAAATTGATTGACATGAAAATTTTTAATTTTCATTTAATAATTATACTTAATTATTTATTTTTTACTTTCTACATAATCAATTATTATTTTGATTATTATTACTTTATTTATTTTTTTAAATTTTTTTTTTAAATTTATATTTAAAATTAAAAATATTATTTCCGCTTAGTCTGAAAATTTTAAAATGCTGGTAATCTTTTATTCTTCTGCAAATGTGAAGTATAAGTACGTGAGGTAATTAAGTGTTTAAGTATATTTAACAAATATAATTGATAGATATTTATATTTGATAAAAATGTACTCCTTCTTATCAGATCGGTAATATCTCGTCTAAATACAAGCGATGACTCAAAAATCCATTGTTTATTTTCTTTTGGTTTCATTGCGGGAAAATGCTAATGTTTGCAAACATTATTGTAAATCTTATTTTCGTAATTTAGATTTGTTTTTATTTTTTTATTTTTTTTTTTAACAATAATTCTCACGTTTTTTTAATGAATTGACAAGTACTAATTGTTTCCAATTAAAATCAAATGGGGGGAAAAAAATTTTGCACACTGCAAAATAAACAGCTTTTCTATTTAATAAATAAATTCGAAAAGTGAATAAATTAACGATTAAGTAAATAAATAATGAAAAGTAAATAAATAAATTAATAAATTTTAAATAAATGCATTAATAAATTATAAATAAATGAGTGAAGAGAAATAAATTGATTAATTATAAATATTATAAATAAATAGTAAATAAATAAATTTCTAAATTAGTAAATTACAAACAAGATTTTTTTTTAAATACTAAAAATAGTTTGTTAAATAATTTACAAACGTGAAAAAATTTTTTTTTTTAAATCAATTTTTTCGAAGGATAAAAAGTCGAGTTTCATTAAAAAAAGAATTTTTAATAAAAAGAAAATGATAACAAAATAGAAAATTAACATAAATAGATCATAATTTAAAGATAAATTTTCTAACTTATTAAAATTCTTGACGTAAGAATACAAATTATTTTTTTTTTCTCTTTTTCTGCAAACATTGTATAGAAAAAAATAAATTCCAACTTCGTAAGGTTTAAAAGATATGCGATCAATTAAAAGAGATTCGTCTCACATAATAAGTTTTTGAATTAACTAATAATAATTTGCCAACGACTTTTTTTTCTTCCTCTCATTATAAAATAGCAACCGTTATTTGTTACATTGAGATCAACGGCAGCACGTGATTTACGTAACTTGTATAATCGATGACTTAACAAAGTCGATAATTAGTCTCCTAAAAAAAAAAAAATACAGCAACAAAAAAAATACAAAAATAATAATCTCAATAGTCACCAATTTTCTAGAATTGGAAAAAAAGGGGAAAATCTCTACAGAAAAAAATTGAAAATAATTGCTAACAGTGATGTAACAATTTGTTATTAATTCTCGAATAGGAAATTTTAATTGTTTAATTATTTTGGCGGAATAATTAACTGATTAATAGGTTAAATAATTAATTAATCAATAGGTTCAATAATTCATTGATTAAATAGGTAAATAAAATTAAATAGGTAAAAAATAATTGATTAATAGGTTAAATAATTAATTGATTAGTAGGTTAAATAATTAATTGGTTAATAGGTTAAATAATTAATTAATCAATATGTTCAATAATTAATTGATTAAATCGGTAAATAAAATTAAATAGGTATAAAAAATAATTGATTAGTAGGTTATATAATTAATTGATTAGTAGGTTATATAATTAATTGATTAGTAGGTTAAATAATTAATTGATTAGTAGGTTAAATAATTATTTTATTAATAGGTTAAAATAATTAATTGACTAATAAATTATTGGTCACCAAGGAATAAATAAATGAATAATAAAAAAATAATAAATTGATTAATTAAATTAAATTAAAAAAAAATAAAAATAATAAATAAAAAAAAAAAAAAATTAAAAAAAAAAATTAAAAATAATAAATTGATTAATTAAATTAAATTAAATAATTAAAGAATATTAAAAAATTTAATTAAATCCATTTTTAGGGGGTTGGGAACGATTTGGTATCCACTTCCTTCGATCCTCTGAATGTAAACTATCTCTTCTCGTGTTGCCATATATTTAAACATTACTCTTGGTTTGCTTCGTGATTACAAATAGCGTACATCCGACGAGCAATGCATCGTTGCACACAGCTCTGACACTTATGCAGGTATTCATATACAGTGTTTTGTCAGAATTATGTAATTCCTATAAGCCACTGATTGCGAGTGTGTCTTGATTTATATTTTAATTTAACAATTTAGCAAAAAAAAAAAAAATAGAACATTAATATTATTTTTTTAAAACTAATTTTTATATTAATATTAATTAAGTTCATATTTATTTATTTCAATTTTTTTTATTATTTTATATAAAATAATAATTAAAAACAATAATATTTTAATAATAAAAATAATAATAATAATAATAATAATAATAATATAATAATATAATTTTATTATTTATTATTTTATTATAATGTTAATTAATCATAATAATAACTTTCATTCCATTTCATGAAATTTTATTAATTAATTAATTTTATTGTTATATTAATTAATTAATTATTATTATTAATAATAATAATGGTTGTTGCTTTTTTTATTATTATTATTATTATAATTATTCATTGCATATAATTATTGAAAGCTAGGTTGTTAGAAAAGTTATGAAAATAGAAGAAAAAAGTACGAGACAATTATCGTGTAATTTTTTTTCTCTCGAGATTTATTCGGGCATGGGAGTTGAGAGTTTTAGAATATATGCAAAACAAAGTTTTAAAGCAACTTGACTGCACGAGAGTTGTTGGGCAAGGAGATAAGACCAAAAGTCTGCGAAGGAAAGAGAGGAGATTGTTCAGACAGAATAATAGAACAAAGACATAGATATTGTGATTTATTTTCAGATGCAACAAATTTATTATGACAGTCATAAAATTGAAAAGCCCCCCTTTTCAAGAATAGCTAAAGAAATATTCTCATTAATTTTTCTTTTCTTTTCTTCCGTTACTATATTTCTGTTAAAATTTACATCCATTAATTATAAATTTTAATTTATTTTTTATTTGGGATATTTTTTTTCATTTTATAAATAGCAAGGGAGATAAATTTAATTTTAAATAAAATTATAAAATAAAATTATAGAATAAAATTATAGAATAAAATTATAAACTAAAATTATAGAATAAAATTATAGAATAAAATTATAAACTAAAATTATAGAATAAAATTATAAAATATAATTATAAAATAAAATTATAGAATAAAATTATAGAATAAAATTATAAACTAAAATTATAGAATAAAATTATAGAATAAAATTATAAACTAAAATTATAGAATAAAATTATAAAATATAATTATAAAATAAAATTATACAATAAAATCATAAAATAAAATTATAGAATAAAATTATAAAATAAAATTATAAAATGAAATTAAAAAATAAAATATAGAAAGGGAGATATTTAGTTAGAGATGAGATTTTAAATGTAGTCAAAAG